ACCAATTCAGACCACAAATTTTTATCAGACCCTCCTAGAACCTTCCGCATGCCAATTTTCAGACGAATCAGGGCAAGTCTTTTTCGGCAGTAAAAATGTTTAACGAAAAAAATGGCGAAAAGTATCTTTTGACTCCAAATTACGATTAAGGACTCCTAAAGACCTCTCACAAACAACGATCTGGAACAAGCACTTCGCTGGTTTGTTCCGCGGCTTCGTTGGCATGGCTAACCGTGCCAGAGCACGCTTAGTTCGAAGCCAGACGCGACGAGTGTTTTTCTAAATGTTCGATCTTTATATTAATAATTATAAGAAATTGATATTATTAATAATATTTAATGAATGTCATGATCTTTTCACTGTCATGATGTGCAATATTTTTTGTGAAAATATTCGATCTGACAGGACTCGTACCAGCGTCTCTTGCTTCAACTCTGCTACGGCACTACGGCAAAAATACCGTTTAAACCCAATACGAAGATCTGCAATAAGCGCGTGGAGAAATTTATAAGGTCTGCTGACTGGTCTGGTTGTGGCCACGGTGAGGCAATAGACGTTCGATTTCAGTCGGGTCTATGGAGTTTTTCTTTGCGTTTGTTCGATCTTTGTATTAATAATAATTATTATTATTTAAAATGTATGTTTTGTTCCGCAGTACTTCCTATTGCACTAGTGTAAAACCTTTGTATTTTCCTTGTTGGTTTTTTGTAACTATAATTTATTTTTATCGTAATTTCCAGTTCGATTTCTGTGTTCTGCGATGAATTGAAATCGCTATGGAACGGATCTAGGTATACTGCATTAAGTTCGTTTTTTTCTGTTTGAGCATGATTTTCATAAAATTTGTAAAGAACAACAGCGAACTCATCGTTAAAAGAATTCATTAGCGTCTTCAAATGTCATAATTTCAAGATTGAATATAATAAATTCATTAGACTTTTCAAGTTATACTAAAGGCCTGTCTAGGTCTGGAAATAAAATCATTTTTAAAATAACTAATTAGTATGTAACCTGACTGATATCTACTCTCAGTTTCTTAGTTTCTTAACGTTGATTGACATCTAGCCGCCAAAAAAAGATTTTCAGCACATCTGCACATCCTGCATAGGTCCACATTAAGTTAGTTCACGTAATATCAAATGTACTGATTCGACCGATTTACAATAAAAGATCAACTACTTTATTACAAAAAATGTAGTAGATAATTCCTTTACGAAATACGCCACGCGAGAAAGTGGTAAAACTGACAAAAAAGTTCCCGTTATCGGGGACAGATGGCACGTTTCACGAAAAAATAATTTGTGTCCGAGTTACCAACGCAGTGTTCTTTTGCCATGGCTTAGCTTTATGCTTTTTGACCCTTATATAAAATAATTTCCTCTGAACTTTCGTCACGTCATGAACTCACTACGCCATTCAGCTTCTATGAACTCTGTTTAAGAATTCTGTAGTTTATTTGATATAATTATACACCGAATATATTTTATTCAATTTATGTAAAACATAACTTTCAAACTGAAATATCTTTAATTCCAGACTTCTCAGAATAGTAAACCCAAAACAAATTTGTTCAGGAATTTAAACTCTATATTTTCACTCTATATTTTCACATATTTTTCATAACAGACGCGTACAAATTATGTCAACAAAAATTTATATGGGAGTTCGCCATTGTTCTTTACGAGAACGGTAGCTCAGTATGAGAACGGTTTCTCTCAATGGACGGTTCAAATCCCTGCGTGCGGCATGTGTGTGAATGTGATAAAGGTAATGAAACCTGCATGTGGAAGATAGTTCACAACCATTGGGAAATGTATGTAATTCCCAATCCTCACTAAGCCAGAGTGGCAGACTGTGGCTTTAACCATAGTATAAATAAGACAAGTAGCGCAACTCCCGCCACCATAATTTTGAATTTGAGACACTTGTTCAAACAACCATAAACAACAATCACGACTAAAACGTCTTATATTTGATTACATTTTTTTAAACACTAAACGAATGCTTCAATTCTATAACGAATGGCGCGTGTGACAACCCGCATTGTGCAACTCTAGTACACCGCGAGATTATGCAAATGAGTGCGCTTCTACGTTTGTTTGGAGTTACCATACTTGTCTTTTTATACACCTAAACCATCTCTTCTTAGAAGAAACCTGCGCCCAGCAGTGGGATGTGTAATTGGTTGATGACAATGATTATATAGTATATGATGTATATATTAGTTGTTATAGTTTCAGTGTTTGAGTTTTGGTTTTTTATTACTTTAGCTTTTGAAAGGTGTGAAGTTTTTTTACGGCACTTTTGCTTAGATTCCAATATAGTAAATTGAACCAAATTACAGAATGAAAGGCTGGACTTATGGCCACATAAACACCACAAATGCTGTGTCCTCTAGTTAGAACTATCTTTCAAATTAGATTTTGTCAACAACATAAAATGGTTTTGTACTCTGTAAAGGCGGTGATCGCCAATCGAAAGTGTAGATCGTGGCATATCTACAAAAAATTAAATTAAAAATAAATATTCCCCTTTATATTATAATTAATATTTAATTAATAAGTATCTCCTATTATATTTACAAATACAGTAAAGAAACTTATAGCGATCTACTGAAGACACCCTAATTTTTTATCTGTTTATCTGTCCATTTGTGTATGCTAATCTACACAATGGCCGACTGAATTTGGACGTGGTCGTCACTTATGACATTTTATTTTATTTGAATCGGATGACAAATAAAAAACATATTATGATGTCTATTATAAAGTGCGTCGTGTGTCCCTTGCGTAAGTCAGAATGAAGTGCGAACACTGACCAAATCATTGGGTTATTCGCGTAAATAGTACGAAAATGTTAGTCATCCGTAAATCTACAAAAAAATTACGTATACGATATACCTAGTTTTTATGTTTAAGCTATAATAACGTTTAATGGCAATTGGATTACTTGGCTACTCCGCGAACCCATTAAGGTTATTAGATCTTGCAAAATAGTTGCGGTCTTGTTGAATGTTTTTCATGCAGTTAATTTTGCCACCCTCCTTCCGAATCGTTAATAAAATGGGTCGGTATCATAATGACTATCTTCAAAATGACCTGATCAGCATAATGACTAGATCGCAAAACGACCACCTCTGCAGAAAGACTATAACTTACAATGACTTGGTAGAAAAACGACTATTTTTTTATTTTATTTTATTTTTTATAAAAAATAAGTGCGCATTTGACCTCCATCTCACTTGATAGAAAGTGACAATGAGGTCGACGATGTAGCATGCACACCTAAGTAATGCGAAATCACTCTCGCCTTGAAAAGGTAGGGAATACCACTCTCTAGCCGCTCGCCATATAAATGTGGAAGCAAAACGCTTCGTGCGAATCCTAGGAATATCCACAACATAGGGGTGGAATCCCAGACCACGTCCCCTGATGATGGAAAAGGGAAGGCGGAATCAAATTATGCAATTCCATCTCACACTTACACTAGATATCGAAATGACCATAATCGTTAAATAGACGACATGGTAAAACGACAAGCTACACTTCAGTTAAAAATTTTTTGTTAAAAAACGTTACGAATGAAAATAAAGTTACAAACTTAGTTCTATTTTATACTTTTAATTGTAGTTAATAGTAGAAATATTTTTGAGAAATGTTCAAATGTCAGTCTTCCTAAGGTTCGCGTGGCTAAAGCTTCTATTTATTTTCAATGTAGATTAATGTAGGCTTGTGCTGCATTCGAATATTCCACATGCGATTTGAATTAAAAAACACTGTAGATATATAAGGGCATTATAATTTTATATTTTATGATAATTTTTAGTTCGCAAGGTTGGTCGTGGTAGCATAAAAAAACAAAAATACTAATTATAAAAATTTTGTTTCATATTTTTATGCTGACACTGAATGATTAACCAAACTGTACTTTAAAAAAAGCAATAAAACTAGTTATTTTGCTACCTTGTCGTTTTACCATGTGGTCCATTTAAAGTCATTTTGCTACCAAGTCGTCGTAAGTTATAGTCTTTCAGCAGAGAGGGTCGTTTTGCGATCTAGTCCTTATGCTGATCAGGTAATTTTGAAAATGTATTCATTATGAGACCGACCCAACAAAATAAATAACACAAAACAACTGCAAAAATACACTCCACCACCAAAAATACATTCGATAAGTGTTTCGGCTCTGTATGAAGCACCATCAGGAGCTGTTGACTAATAATAATGAATGAGAATTAAAATATTCAACATAAGCACAGCTATTTTGCATTATCCAACCTTCACTGGGTCCATTCGATTTTTTATCGTGCAATATTATTTAATATTCGAGCATTGTATCGTGAAATATTATTTAATAATTACACAATAATATGCTGTGAGAGTCAGAATTTGTCCTACGATGCAGTAAAACCTTTCCGGAAATCCCGAATTCAAAATAGTAATCAATAAATTTTTGGTGGTTTTAACAACTATATGTCGCTTCTTGTAGCTGTGTATATTGTACACAATATATACATGCATCTGTATATGTGGAATGTGGAACACCTTTTTCCGACCATTGCACGAAATAAACTATATTAAGGACACGCGCTTGTAACCTTTTCAATCAAAACAAGGTAAGATATTGACATATGAAGAGGCTGTATGGTGGTACCTTTGCCTACTTACCCAAATAAATGGCGGAATTTATTTTTTTTTAAATTACGAAAATATTTACAATTTTATTTTCGCTACAACTTCGTTATGATAGAGGTACAATTTTTTTAAGAATAAGTACTAAATAGTACAATTTTTGGTACATTTTTTGGTACCAAATATGTCAGGATTCGTTAAGGTGCACACGACACTCTGAAATCTCAACTTATTTTGTCTTATTTCTTAGAAACTAACCAGCAGATCGAGCTGGAGTTTCCTTTACTTCAGAGTAATTACTTATTAAGGTACACATTTTTGGAATAACAAGTTTTTATAGTTGTCAAATAAATGCTGGTAATCCGAGGTACACCCGCCATACTGACAGTCAATACGGCGGGTGTACCTTTGATATTGCTATAACTTCGTTCTTATGGAGGTACAAATTTTTTAAACAGAAACAATGTGAAAAGTAGAGGTCATTTCGTGATTTTTATCTATCGAGGAAACTTTATTGTTTTATGTTTCTGATTAGTGTCTATGCTTGAATATATCGTGTAGTTACTCATATAATATTTTATCTTTAACTTTAAAGTGGACATATCCTCTTTAAAGTTAAAAATAACCCTTCTAAAATCAAATCGAAGATTAGGAATTTTTCCTCTGCTCCCTCTTAAGGTACACCCACCGTGACTCTCACTAATAAATATACTTGAATATTTAAATAATAAAAATTGCCACGGAAATTAGGTAGTGAACACTAGTCATAACGTCTGAATCTACTATAAAATAACAATAGCGTTTTGTATTTTTAAAATAAATTGAAATTTATCCTTATTAAAATGTATGTTTTGGTCATGTGGGATATTTAATGAAGATAACATTTTCCTATATCTTCTACAGCGCTGTCATTCTACTAGTACCGCTTGGTGAGGGAACGCACCCATACAAACGTGACGTCATTTTTTTCATTCTTTTTTAGAAATACAATTTCTTTTTTCAGGCTTCGACAAGTCCCAGAGCGGCCTCCGAAACTGTCGCCTCTGACTCTCGCAGAGATGAACAACCTCAATCTGAAACAATCGCCGATCGCGTATCCTAAAATTGAGGAGTTCACAACAGACCACGACTACGAAGCACTGAGTCCTTCTTACAATTTAAACAAGCCCACACGTCCTGCGCCTAGACCTCCAGCAACTAAATCTCCTATACCTGTGTCCCATGGGAGCCCTTTGCCAAGTGTTCCCGGACCTACATCGCCGGTGGTTCCGTCTAGGAAAAAGGGACCTGCTCCGTTGCCCAGAAATACCATATACAAAACGTTAGATGGATACAATGGAATGGAAGGCGTACCGTTCGTTTTAAATCCCAAGTTGAGAGGACTCCCCAGTGATGCTTGGGTAAGTTTTTTGTGTTCTGTTTTATTAGACTTGTATTGGAAGGATTGGATAGCATCGATTGGTGATTATTGATCTCTGACTATTTTATGTCGTCCCTTCAAATTTTTGGTCATAATTGAATAAGGGAGTCACCACACCTTAATGCGGAATCGGCTTGCGCCGGACAGAAAAGCTTTATGCCTTTTTCGCTCTTATTACAAGGTGTGGTGATTACTTATGACAAACTTACTTTTGGCTTTTAAAAGCAGTCATTCTCCTCCAATCATCGTAATTTACCTCGAAAATCGATAAAGATTATACAATATTCTGCGTTATAGTTTTTACGGCAGGGACATTAATAATGGATACTCTGAGGTTGTTTAACTCAAATGTTTTGTGTTGTTTACTTAAACGACTGCCTATGAAATGTCAATGATGTGCGGTAAGATGATGTTTACTTTCCAGTTGCACACGTTGCACTCACTGCAGCATCAGCAATTTTTGTCATGAATGAATGACGCCTGTCCCTGATGCTACGATGATGATGCCCTTTTCTTCTTATAGCTGTTTTACGTTTGTCTATAGACGCGGTCAAGTAGGCATCAACCCTTAATATTTTTTTCTTCCATTTATTGCCCCCAAAATGAGTTTTTATTGTTAAACTCATATTTTATAACATATTATAACAGTTTTGTGTGGCAAATTGTACACCGCCTGCGGGCTTACAGGAGAAACTACTCACCGTTGACCGACTTTATACGTTGATTTTATGATACTGACCCGATTATTGAGGTTCGCCTATGTCCAGCTGTGGACATCATTCAACTGAAATTATTGTCGGATTGTTTCTACAAACCGATTCCTTACGTTCTCAAACTCGTATCTTATAAAGATTATTCATGAGATAGCAAAACTTCTATTTATTTTAAATTTCTTATTAATGGTGTTGGATGCATTACTTTAAGAACAGGTAAAAGCCAATGTGTGAATATAAAGGAAATGTGACGTGAAATCAGCCTGCAAAATTTATATATAATAACGCACACACTCAACATAGCCCCGCACTAGGGAAACCCTGTGTCGCGGGTGCCGTGGACACACATAGACAAATTACACCCAAACTCACGAGAGGAATAAATGTAGGCCATACAAATATTTCTCCCGGCCCGGGAATCGAACCTGGGACCTCTGCGTGGCAGTCCGGCATGGTAACCGTTCGGCCACAGAGGCAGTTAAACACATTACAATACAATACATTTTTTTGCATTTCAGTAACTTTGTGCTATAAGATACGAGTTTGAGAAAGCAAGGCGACGAAATACCCCACTGGTTGGAATTTGTGGAATTTTTCCAAATATACTGCAAACTCATGGTATAGGCTACAGTTCATTTATAAATGGTATTTAGTTTCGAGCAAAACATTATTGAATTTGTTCGACATGTGAGAAAAATAAATAAAATAGAAACTCCATTTATATATCCGGTACTTTGATATGATTGGTACGTGCCGTATTTTAATAAACATCGACTCTAGCGTCGATTGATACGATAAATGCAGTCGGATATTATGACTTGTAGACGTTTAGATAAACACGTTTATGCAATAACTATTGTGTTGTCATTAAATAACATTGGTGTTGCGTGTCCTTATAAGCGATGTTGTCGTGGAACATCTACGGGTTATAACACGGATGTTGTTACGAATTGGTACGCTGTCCGCTGGTTCTTACCGTGGCTTAGTTGGCGTAGCGTCTGGCGCGGTTTGCTAGAAGACGTCGGTTCGAATCCGGGCGGATCGAAGGAATTTTTTCTAAGTGTTCGATCTTTGTATTAATAATTATAACAATAGATCTATGATGTTTGAAATAAATTTTGTATATGATAAATGCGTAAATGATAAATGCGTAAATGTTTATTTAGAAAGAGCAACCCCTACGTTTCTTGCTCATTCTTCTCACGGGAATCTGCCATTTTTTTTTTGTTACCAAGTGACGGGACGCCTAAATCGTGGGCCTAGTGGTAAGCGACACGGCTGTCCATAACAGTTGCAGTGCCATTAGAGCTTTAAAACGCAAAGATCTGAGGGGCACTGCCACTGCGCCCGTCACCATGAGACATAAGTTGACAAGTCCCAGATGCCTCTAATTACACCAGCACCTTCATTTATCCTTCAAAACCGGAAAGTAATTATGCTGACATTACTGCTTGGCGGAAGAAGTAGGTAAGGTGGAAGTACTTCCTTAGAGGATCTCTTTCAGAAGGAGCTCTACTACTACTAAGAAGTGTAGCTTGAACAATGTGACGATTTCATGTGTAATAAAGATTATTTTACTTTGACACTCGCCTTTTCGACAGCATACGGTGCATTTTGCTTAGAGATTATATCGCCGACATTAATAGAATTTTTATCCTGTAAAAACATGCTGTTATGGCAATTTACATCCGTATTTTATTGTACTCAATAAAAAATAAATAATAAGTTTAAAGGACTTGTACCGAATTAGTATGGAGCTTGGAACTTTATTCCAAGAAAAATTTAACAAGCCTCAATTTTTTGGCTAGATATAAGCTTGAAATAAAGAGCTTAAAATAATTTTTAAAAATATTGTGACCTGCATTTTTTATTTATTTATTTAAAACAAAAGTGTGGTAGATATGTTTAATTAATTCCAGCAACACTGCGATACTAAAAAAAGTCCAAAAAGCCGCAACACTTAAACGCCAAAGTATTCAAAATCATAATTCTTCACTTCACTTTTTATTTTTATGGCTCCATCAATATGAGAACTGATGATTTTGCCAATGTCACAGTTGAAAGAAAAAAAAACGAAACAAAAAAAAAAATTTTCGCTAAGCTCTAATAGGACATTAACCGGTGTTGGTAAGTTGGACTACGGGAGTACTCAGTTGAGAATGTAAAACAAAACAGCAAAACAATATTTATAAATATATGTTATTTAAGTGGATAAATTTACATAGAGTAACAATATGGGGGGAGAAGACTAAAGTTAAGAGGTTGTTTATGTTCATGGGGCGGGGGAATTTTGGAGAAAGTAAGTTATAAAGTGGAACAGCAATATTAGGACAATTGAAAATGGGATTGCGTTCCGTTTTACTTTACATAGTATTAAAAATCCCTAACGATTTTCTGTAAATTGCACGTCAAAAATAATTTGTTTTTAATTCAGACTGTTTAGATTTTGAGAGCTCTTTACAAAAAACCAACTCATAGCCTGGTTAAATTTTCCATTTATTTTAGTATCACTGAAGGAACAACCTTTAATACTATGTTTTAATTACAGGCGCAGCTGCCTGTGATAAAGGCACGCACACGTTTCGAGCTGGATCGTGAGTATTCGTACAGCTTCACAGCGGAGCGGCAGACGTGAGACCTGCTCTCACCGCTTCCGCAGTCATGCGGTTGACTGTACGCCACACTGGTATTTTATTATGTAACATGAGTTTGAAATTTCATTGAAAGGGGTTGGGACATTTAGGTATAGCTGTGGAATTCCATTTGCAACTTGACGCGAACCAACTTATAAAAATTTATTTCAACTTTATGAAACCCACAACACATTCATTTGGTTTAAAAAGATTATAAAAATTAACATTTATGATTTTTAAAACCGGTCTTGGAAATCCGTCACATTTGTACCAATTGACCTGTATGGGATATTTTAAGGGGTAATTCTACCAACTTATATAGTCAAATGTTACGTACCACCCAGTGGCGAAATGTGGATTTTAGAAGTTAGATGGGCGGCTGACAAATTTTGACTATTTTTAATTAAAAAATAATACAGGCCACTATCGTGACTCATTCATTATTTATTCTTTTTTCAAAATTAGCGACACTCTTTTGTTTATTACGTTTCGCTTTGAATGGACAAAATGACGACAGAAAATAAGCAAAATAAACATTTTGCTTGACAAATAAATGAGTAACAATTTTTTTAACAGAGTAATGTCTCTTTTTAACAAATATAATAAGCGCATTTTTTATTTCTACATACTGAAAAAAGATATCCATACCCAGGTCGTATTTTATTTCGTACTTTGGTAGATTACTTTTCAGCCGCCTTTCAATGAATTCTTGGGACAATAACATTTGCATTGCCACTCAGAGCTTTACATTGCAAAGATCTGAAGGGCAGTGCCACTGCATCCGTCGCTTTGAGACACAAAATTGTCAAGTCCCATGACATTGTCAGCTGCTAAATAAAATGACCCAACTCCTTTAGTTTGTTGTGAGTTTTACGAGGTTTATTGTATATACGACGGTAATGGTAGGTTGTACATAGAACAAAGTGACTACAAGGGCAGTAAATGTAAAGATGATGTTTTTTTTTCAATTTGAAATTATTGACATAGTGCAAATTATATTATTTATTCGATCTTATATCCTTTTGTTTATTATGTGAACATATGATCTGTAATAGTGAAATTCTTTACTATTTGTAGTAATAAATATGTAGTGATTTAATTATGGATTTAGTATAATGGAAACGAGTGAAATTATGTAAGGTGTAACATTCACTATCCTACACGTTGGTTGATTAAAACAGTAAAGTTGTACAACTGGTCGGGTAGTGAATAGTAAGCTTTAAATTAAGACTGCAACACGGAGGATTGATAATTCGTAAATACGTATTTTAAATTGCAAAATTTTATCTTAATAATTAATGTTCTATGATAAATGACTACTTGCATGAATTTTCAACTTACGTCTATGTAACTTAGTATTTCTTGAGATTCGAAAATGTAGTCCTTAATTTTACGGTTGTGTCTACAATGTGACAAATATATTTAAAACTTATTGGTTGTTCATGCCCCAACGTGAGTTTTTATATAAGTGAATTGAAGATTTTCAAAGGGCATCGATCATATTAAGACGCATCATTGGTGACTACAAATCTATCAAAGCGTGTTGTACCGATTTGTTGTCCGACATGTGGACTGGATTTGTTGGTCAATGATTGATTTATGTTAGTTGCAATTAGTCGGCATATCTTTTTGTATGTACGTCATATCAAATTTTTAATGAACTTTCTGTGCTCATTCAACAATAATTTTGAATAATTACCTTTTAGGTAGATATTGTAGATTACCTATTCGATATCTAGGGCGTTTTTACCATAGTTCATTACGTACGGCCATATTTTAGAAGACGTGTCTGATTCGCACATCTTTGATACAAGATAAAGAGACAAATATATATATGTGACAATGACGTTCTAATCTCTTCATTTTCGTTTATACGGTGCCGTTTACTTCGTAAACTGTCTTTATACACATTAAAATAAAGTTTTTTTTTCTTTAAACCATTTATTAAAAGATACATTTACCTGTCTCATATATCTTTTGTATTTGAGAAAGAGACAAATATATCTAACGGCACATTTATAATCCTTTTATTTTCAAAGTTTTATTAATCTTCCTTAATTTATTAAATTCTTTGCACGCATTAAAGAAAGTTTGCCTTATAATTGTAATTTGGAGGAAGTAAGTGTAGACGCGAAGGTCTTGATTGTGGTAGACTGATCTGATCGAATTACGCGCTTGTTGGGATATTCACACTTCTTTTTGTGGAATCGGTGGCACACCCCGGACACTCCGTACAACAGTCAAAAATTAGTTACCTACTACTACTGCATACAGGAAGGCGCTATCAGCACACGCGCAAATGTTTGCGTGAATTACCAGGATTTCTCATCACTTTCTCGAACGTATTTTTTTTAAAGAGATTTGTCACAAAACGCGACTACGCCGCTCTATACGTATATTTATACAATAAAGTAGAGAGAGAATTGAAGCAGGTTATAGTTGCCTTAACTGCAAGCCATCTTTGCATCCTGGCTTCTCTTGATAGAGGAAAGGCCAAGAAGCTGTTGCATCCGCCAATTTGTCTAAACTGGTCACACATAGCAGCTACATCAAATCTAAACGAATCGTTTCGTTCACACTCCATCAGTATATGATATACGTCCTTATTCACGTCACATACAGCCCAGTTTGGTGACTCTGTTTTCTTCATCATATACGCAAAACTTTCTCGAACGTTACTCGTGTGTTACGTGGTCAGAGCGGCAACATAGCGAAAATTCTAATGCGAATCAGTTATCTATTAATAGAATCCCAATAATTACACATGTTCATTAGGTATTTATATCGATATAATATTTTATTTTTCATTAATTCACTAAGTAGAATAATATTGAAGATTTATTTTTAAAATATATTAAAAGCACTTAAAATGTTGTGTTTTGGACAGGTACTTCTAAATAAAGTAACCAAGGTATTTGAAATTGCGTGTCCAAGTTAATAATTAGGTGTATTTTCACTACGTAATATTTATCGGCAATACAAAGTGCAAAATTCGAGAACCCTTTTCTACTAGCTCACGAAATTATGGCGTCTTATTATATTGATATAATAAAGCTGTATTATGTATTACTCTGCACTAAACAAATGAAGAAAACAATAACTGAATGAGTCTCAGACAAGTTTTTTTTACAGACTTCGTTTCATCTTTCGGAAAACGAAAGGTACTCCTCTCTTTATCCCGTTTAGATGACGATAAACAGCCGTACACAGCACAATTCACAAACATTATAAATAGTAACGTAAAATGATGTTATATATTAACGTACAAGTAATGAATAAATGCAAACTATATAAACATCAAAGCCGTCTTAGCGCTAAAACGGGTCACCGACAGCCTTGTTGTCGTTCAGTCAATGTGACCGTCAATTTGCGGGATGTGGTGCGGTTTCTAAAGCTAGGGAGGGGTCGAGAGTGTCGGGTCTCGTTACTTTTTTGTTCTCTGTCCGTGGCGTGCATTACAAGGGCCCCCTTTTAATTAGACGCTGATAGAACCTCTGCAATGACGCCACTGTTAACAAATGCTATTAACGAGGCGGAGTGTGTACTCCTTATCGAAATACAGCTCTTTTTTATTTATTAAGTAGAAAAATTAAGAGAAATTAAGAGTCTATGCTACCTTAAATGGCTTTGGTTGATTTCGCATAACAGTGAAATTGTTAAGAGCTCTTATGCCAAAAAAGTTTTGACGTTGGCTCCGCCCAAATTTGGGAAACAAATATATGCCTGAAGTTCGCGTGACATGCGACAGGAGATGTTGAATTTTGCTCATCTCTTTTATTTTTAAATATATTTGGCAAGTAGGGAATTGTCTGTAATAAACTATAACCGACACATACATTTTAATTCTCTGTCACGGGAAGCGAGTAATTCGTTTCTCGTCGATTCTGAGAAAATACACTTTTTTAGTTAATACACTATTGTATTAGTAGTGCGATATCTGGAATCAACGAACTGTATTGATACGAGCTGAGGTAGTATCGGCTCTTAATTTTTTCCCATCATTAGAATTCAATTATCTCAGATCGAAACTCATATTTATTATTCATAATATTTGAAGAGCTCCGTGGTCGTGCGGCTTATACGCCGGTTTTCATGGCGTCGCCGTCTCTTAGGTCCCGGGTTCGACCGGCCGGGTCCATGTAGAGGAACTAACTTTTCTATATTGTCTGGTCTGGGTGCCTATGATACCGTCGTTGTTTGCGATTTCCATAACACACGTGCTTTTTTTTATGCGATGTTGTCTATACTAAACTGGGATGGTCCCTGTGAAACTCCATTTGACGTTTGTCATAGCGATGAGGTAAAGGCAATAGATTTTTGAAGCAAAAGTTCCCACTTATAGGTTTAATTTTCTTACGTATTCTGAATGTTGCGATGTATGAAGTGTTTTGTATTGTGTATATTGAAAGCATAAAACACGCAACTAGAATTCATTTACAGTTGAATTGATGTTTTAGAAATTTTCAAAAAACATTTATAATTTATAGACTTCAAAAAGTAATAAAATTAATGTAACATGTTAATCCGTTGCCAATGACTAAAATTCATACATTAAAAATGAATACCCGCACTAAACATTTATTCGTTAAATTATCGAAAACTTTTTATCGATATACCGCATCTTTAGCAAATGCAGTGTAACGAAGTAACCTTTGCACGTCGTTGTAAAAAAGTAATGAATTTTGGACAAAAATGTTTTTCCGCTTATTCCTCACAAATTAACACTGATTTGGTGTTATTTTTATTTCAATTTTATGTATTTATTTAACAAACATTTAAGAGCGAGGCCATTAAAAATAGTATGAAATACGTAAATTAGTGCACGTCGTTACAAAGTTATATATATTGTGTAGATCTTTATGAACTGTCACAGGGATCATCTTAGATTATTTTTAGTATATTTGTTTAGTTATTATTATTTATTTAATATTCGGTAGTGGCACTATGTGCTAGTTTCAAATGTTATGCATTTCGGTAAGAGGAAGAACAGCCGTTCATAAATTGTGCGATTCGATTAATATCAAATTATGTCAATGACCTTGACGTTAGCGCGCTGTTTTAATGCCATATAAATAGTACGAATTATTCCTTAAACAACTAAAATTACGTCGTGGTTACTGTTTAATTAGTATTTCTTCATCTGGTTTTATACATCGCTCATTCAACTTTTTACGATTGTACGTTGAGTAGTTTAAATACGTACTTTGTGATTATTGTAAAGTGAAAAATAGAGCTTGCCAATTTAACAGAGAAAGTCACTTTGTAACTTATTTTAAAAACAAACAAATGTCATTTTACTCCGTGTCTTGGAAGAAACATAGTACCTATAGTTAAAGGTTCAAATTTCGTATAGGGCCGAGCCCTGGGGCATTGTGCTCAGGAAGCTGGCTGGCTGGTTATTTTTTGGCTGAAGTAGCTGTCAGCTTTCTGGTCACAGGAGGCTTCAATGGGGCAAACTGAAGATCTCACTGTGCCAACATCTTGTACAACAATTATTTCCTGGTTACCCGGCTCGTGCAGCCAGCCAATTTACTAGTCAAATTAAGCAGTTTAGGACTCCCGTACTTCCAGTTTTAATCTTAATTTTCACGACAAGAATACTTAAAAATTTCCGCTCAATCTTGTATTCTGAAATATGGTATTCCATTTTCAATTAATTGCTTTGTAAATCAATTGTTTTTGGTCGAAAAAAGAACTTTACTACAATTAGAGTTGTACATTTTAAAAGCTCCATTTACACACTTCTAAATAAAATAGAAAACAAATCGAAGACATGCCGCCCAGTGTCTTGACACAGCTCGATTACTGTCAATTCTGTACATATCTAGTTCATTATCAAGGTGCGTTCACAATCATATTCGACGTTATCAGCTCATAAGTTCTGTTATGATATTTTGCGAATACTAGGCTCATCTGTATTAGAAAGGAATATTGGAATTTCGAATATATTTGTGAATACACTTCATATTTAGATTTTAACCTGCGACTGTTATTTATTTAATGTAGGAAAGTGCTTTTTATATACCTAGTTTCTTTTCGTAGTCAGTCTTTCCTTTTTATTGTGGCTACTTTTTCACTTAGAGGTGAAAGGGGTAAGAATATTTTTGTTGTTGCCCCTTTTGTATTATTAAAAAGTGAAACGATAGTAAATATTTCTTTTAATTTAAGCCCTTTCATACCAATAGACAAAGGGATAGAAATATTTTTTATTTATGTCCTTGATACTAATGTGGAGTCAAAATAATGGAAATATTTTTATTGTTGCCCTTTTTATGCTAATAGAGAGGGAAAGGGACGTTTTATTGTTGTCCCTTTCACACTGATAAAGAGTAAAAGTGATAGTTTTTTTTGTTTTATGCCCCTTTCGTACCAATGAAGAGTGAAAAGGTTAGTAATATTTTGTTGTTGCCCCTTTAATGCTAAGTAGAAAGCGAAAGAAACGATAATATTTTAATTATTGTCCCTTTAAATTGTAAGCTATTTATTTATGCGCTTGTTTAATGAGGCATTGAAACGTGAACATGAACCCCACAAGTTTATTCGCGCAAGACTCTATTTCCAATGCAAACGGAGCAGAATGGGTCCGAATGTAACGAAATTGTACATAACATAATGGACTTTACGATACGCGAGAATTCTGCTCGATCGATTCGACCTGATTTTTTGGCTCGTAATTTAGTTTGTACGCTACAACAATTGCCATTTTTATTTCTTTATAACATCATCATCATATACAGCCTGACTTCACCCACTACTGGGTATAGGCCAGGCCCCGCAAGTTTTTGTGCCATTTCCCACGGTCCTGCGCCAGTCTCGTCCACGTTCGCCCCGCGACGCTTGCGATGTCTACCCATCTCGCTGCTGTACACAGGAATATCGGGCGTCCAGCATCTGTTATCTTATCTGCCAGGTGCCCGTTTCATTTCTACTTTCGTTCCGTGATGTCATTCCCCACGTCTTTTACTTTCGTTCGACTTCGAATCTGGACGTTGAGAACACAGTCTATAGTCTTGATACCGAGCATGACACGCTCCATGCCTCTGTGCAACTCGCAGCATGACACGCATAACATAAATCGCTTATAGTAAGTAAAAAAAAACATAAAACAGCGTCGCGTAAACCTATTACAGAATTTCTGTACACCGCTGCATACCATAATATTGTCAGTAATAAACACAAAAAAAAGAGGGTAAGATATGCCGCTCCCTCCGACCCGACCAACGGGTCGCATTCGGCCCTGGCATGATTCATTTTTTGTGAAAGTCTGATGTAACTATTACTATAACATAATAGTATATTGTGTATTAAGGGCGGGAAATAAGGACGAACGAGACTATTAAAAGCCCGAAGTCGAAGACTGAGGGTTTTCGGAGTCCGAGTTTCGTAATTCCCATACCCGTGAAACATACAATGTTTATCATCACACTTGGACTTAAATAGTATGTATAGTAATGCCCCAAAATAAAACCCTCGAGCCTTTTTTCTTCTCATTACCAACCATGGCTGTAATGAGAAGAAAAAAGGCCCTAGGGTTTTATTTGGGGCATTATAGTCAAGTTAGCTATAGCAATCATACTATTTACGTGCAGGAGCATTGACTTACAAATAAATGGACGACGGGTCTAATACAAAAACCACGAAAAAAATGTCCCAAGTCAACCTATTTAAACGTAGTGACATGTAAAGGAATATGAAAAAGCTAAAACGATGAATTTAAATTGTAATGTCATCGCAGTACTGTCTAATTTTGCTTGTTTCGCTGTTAGTCGAACAAATGAAGACTAAAGCGTGAATGACGCTCTGTATACGATTTTAACGCCCTATAAGTTCGGACACTTTTTAGCGCGGACCCGACGTCCATATAATTGTAAGTCAATGGGCAGGAGTGATAAAAAGTTTATTATGGTGTTACAAAAATTTCCTTCTATTTCTTACAACTTTCATATTTAGTTTGGAAGGGACAACAATAACTAATGACAATTTCAAAAGCGTACTTTTACAATATTTTTTTATTAGATTCTATTACAGTATTTACAGATTTTTGCCATAAAAAGTTACGACATATTATTAACCGATGTAACAACAACGACGTCGTACGCTTTTGAAATTCAATTTCTCTATCTTAGCAAATAAAAAATCTACGAGTGAAGTTGGTACACACATGTTAAATTTTATCAGGGATTTAATGTAATTATATGATGGACTATTATAATTCTATAAAAAATTACACAGCACACTCGTCATCATCTATGCAAACGGACTCTACACAATATAAATATGTACGGACATACCAGTTTCTATCTCAATTCTATGTTAATGTTTATTAGATTATTTCTAAATACGTTTTGCATAATGCAATTTGATATTTGGTAAGCTTTTTATGGATTAGACATGTATGTTGCAATTTTGTTTAGAAAATTAACAAGATAATAAATTTTAAATTATTGACTGATTATATTGTGTTTCAATTCTTCTTCATATCTTTTGAGTTTCGACAGCGTTTTAGAATTAATTGAAGACTCTGGAACCGTTCGCACTATGAGCGTTCTGGTTGAAAAGGTTTCGGGTTTAATTCCCGGTTGGACCAATTTGGGAAATTAACTTATGTAGCGCGAGCATCGCCAAAACAGAGCCCCAATATATATACATATATGATATGATATGAATATGTCAACCGTGACCATGGGACCTGTAAAGGGCTCGAAACGTCGGTTTGTTTGAAAAAAACAAATATACTCGTTTTAAATCCGGAAAAATAGTTTCATTTCCTATGTGTAACAATCGCGAAAACCTAAGAACTCGATAGGAATCACAGACATGATAAGAATGATACTTTTTCATTAAAAGTAATGATACCTTAATATAAGGAACAGCGAAAACCTAAGAACTCGATAAACTTATATTTTTTTTACAAAAATAAATACCTTATTTCGGACTAGAAAACATTTGCACTTGCATGCCAACCTAGGTCAATATAGGGTACGGTTCAAGTCCTGTTAGATCGAAGGACTTTCTTTTACATTCCATTTTCGTATTAATAATTATGATAAAAGATGAAATTACAATAATTTAATTTTGAATATTCAAGATTGTAAAGTCACCACTACTAAAAATCTGCCGCCATTACTTGCTTGTGACAAAAACCTAAAACCGAGAAAATAATGCTCAAAAAAATTAAATTAAAAATATCTACTTTTCTCTTGCGGTAACTTCATACCTCAACCGCCTAGGAAAAAATAAAAATAGTGGCAGTACGGCCGGGCCTTTCTTTATTGATCACGGCAACGTACATAAATGTAACATTTTTTTTTAATGTCACATGCGCCCTTTCAACTAACGGCGGCAGAAATGTAGTACCGAGCGCCCCAATAGATTTTATTGTGTTTTATTTAGAATGCCGATGTGGAAAGGGAGCGCAGAGCGTAGGCTGTTCGTTGCAATATGTAGACTCGCAGGTTTGCTCGATACACAGATGAAATGAAGGTAATGCTGTTTAAAGCATATTGCCAGCCCTTTTACAAGTGCAACATGTGGGTCAGTTACATGCAGCGGGCGCCATATGCCCGCCGCGCGTGATTGACCAACAGGCTGCACTGCGTATCCAGTACAAAAATGCGTTCAGCAGCTTGATTTTGATTGCCTCTCCCGACCAGAAACTGCGTCTCTTCCGAGTCGAGGCACATAACAACTGGCCGACCAGAAAGTTTTGACATTTCAAATCGGATTTTTGAATCCCGTCAACCATGGTCGCTGATAAACATGTTGACGCTCTTTACGCTATCTTGCGAAAGCGTAGCGCATCGCTACTCTGTCGCATGCATATACTAAATCTATGGTCGCATGCGTCTCAGTATAAACGGCATCTTGAGCGCATTAGCTGATAGATGGGAGTCCCAATCCTGGGGCGGTGGATGCGCTTGCTTGCATACGTGTACAATTAATATTTTTAGGATGATGCTGGGCCTTCTTCGTTTCTGCAGTCCATCGGGGATGTTTTCAGAATATACGGATGTTTTGCTCCATCCTGCGGAAATAGACAGCTTCCCTGATGCGCAAAGGACGAGACAGCTCCAACAGCATCTTACACACTAACTTCGAGAGGAAGGTGATGTGATTAAGTAATAAAATATCTACTAACACTAATTAATAAGCTCTTCCTATTACTATGATTCAGATTAACTTGTTTCCTGAAATAAAAAAATAATAAATTTAGTTGCCGTCCATCAGAGGGCCAGCGCCTTAAAACCAAAGCCTCTAGTGTCCCTTTGGCCCTATGATTAAGCAAGTTAAACACCTTACCGTATCGATGGCATATACGTTTATACTCCGTAGTTCCACGTACTGAATCTAAAAATTCCATACCTTGAAGTAGTGACAAATGTAATGTTTTTATTTTAATACTTCCCATCGTGGTGAAAGGATTTGCCAATCGACGAGTTATCGTATCGATGGAATACACTTGTGACCTCTTTCATCGTCATTTCACCTTTTTATCGCTATTTTCATCCCACCTTTTTGTGACCCTTTTCATCCCACTTTTTTTATCACCTTTTCTCTAGTTCCTGGCTACTTACTTTTGAAATTTTGAATCGTTCTCTAATTCTTTTTCTTCACTATTTTTACTTTGCTTCGTTCCGTCGTTACTCCCATCTGCGTTAACATCTAATAGTCTGTGCTCCCATCAAAATTCTCGAGGATAAAAGACGTGTCCTTCAATGATGTAAATGATGGGCCCTTTCTTTACCTTTGTTTCTACCTCTACAATAAAAACCTTGCAATAAAAATTATGCGGACCGAGCGTTAGGCTCAACTCACACTGGCGCAGAGTCGCAGCATCGCGACGCGTCATGTTTTTCGCCTATAGCATATACGTCTCTATTTTCCCATTGTTAAGGTACAAATTTGTGTTTTGCAAATATGGGATTGCTTGGTAGCGTTCGAGCCGGTTCGCGCGTCACTTGGGCGCCGTGAGGCGTCAGATGCCTACCACACGAGGGTCGTCGCCTCATGACCTGGAGATCGAGTTGAAAAACAGACTCTGCGCCAGTGTGAGTTGAGCCTTACTCTCATTATTACGCAAGACCCTTCGTGACACACTATTGCTTGCCATCGTGGTGGGATTTGCCAATCGACGTAAGGGTGGCTGTACACGGCCTGCTCGAGCAGTTAGCCAATGATCAACATACACGGACCGCTCTTGCAGTCATAGTCAACAGCTTGAGGCTGCCATTGATAACTGCTGGAGTAGTTGATATCAACTGCAGCAGTTGGTATCAACTGCCCAACAAGTCACAATTTCAATATCATTCAAATCAGTAGCAACATGGATTTTGAGGAAGAAGCACTACCACTGCTAGGTACTTTTGCTCAGATGACGACGGCGGCGGCGTAGAATTTGCTGCTGCGAAATGGCGCGCATGACGTGGAATGAAGAGCGCGGGCGGAGGTCACTGCGCGAGAGTAGCCGACAGCTCGAGCAGTCAATGTGTGTCTAGCGACTGCTTGACTGCACGATGACATTTCACCGCGCTGCAAACCGCCCGCCCGAAACCCGAGCGGTTTGGTGTATGTGTACATAGTAGACCAGTCTTTCCCGAAGTGGGCGATAACGCCCCCTTGTGGCTTTTGGCTAGCAGCCAAAGTTAGGTAAGAGACCCAGAAAAAAAATGGAGACATTGTGTAGAGGCTTAGTGGGAGATTTGTAATTTCATCCAGGACTCAGAGTCGTATTCCAGAACTCTACTCAATACTCAAGTCAGGACTTGAGTATTGCAGTGAGCACTGAAAATCATACTCAAGTCCTTGCCATTAGAGTCGTATTTCCAGTGCTTGAAATCATACTCAAGCCTGCTCAAATCCTGACTTGAGCATTGAGTAGAGTTCTAGAATACGACCCGTAGACACCGACTGAGCTCTCGACTCTCGACTACAACTTGTGAACATCAACTAATATTAATTAGGAGATTGCTCAAACTAACTCGGTTCGATATTTATCTCCGTGTCGTATTTATCTGTCCTGTTTTATATGTTT